GGCTTAAATGTCAGGAATTTACTTTCTCCTAGTTCTGAAGGCTGGAAGTCTGAGGTCAGTGTATGAGTAGACTCGGTTCCTTCTCAGGGCCGTGAGAGAGGGTCTGTCCCAGGCTCGTAGGTGGCTGTCTGTTCCCTGTGTCTTCACGTGGCCTACCCTCTGTTCGTGTCTGTGCGTTATCACATTTGGAACCACACACTGTCTCCTTCCAAGGTCCTACACGATTATGTGCCTCCCACCTACCTCTTAGCATTTCCTCTTCGCTCATCTGCCCCATCACACTTGCCGTCTTGCTCTGTTCCTTTCGTAGGCCAGGCGCTCCCCAGTCTGAGAGCTTTGCTTTTCTCTTTCCCTGGGAAAAAGCTTCCCTTAGCTCTTCACGTAGCTGGTTCCTTCTCATGCGCAGGTTTCACCCCAAATGTGACCTACTCTGACTACCCAAAGTAGCCCTCCTCCAAACTTAATCTCTCACCCCATTTTTCTTTCCTAACACATATCATCTGCAATCCTCTTACGTAGAATTCATTGATGTGCTTACTGTCTGTCTCCTCCATGAGTATACAAGTTCCGGGATAGTCAAAACCTTTTCATTCTTGGTCACTACTCTGTCCCTAGCCCCAGGGGTTTAATACATGTTTGCTGAAAGGTAAAAAAGTGAATAAAAGGATTAACGGGACCCTCTAATGCCCACCCAGATTAGGAATTTTACACCAACTATGTCATGCATTTGAAACAATTATTTTGATACACACACACACACACACACACACGCGCGCGCGCGCGCGTTCAGGGAGCTTAGAGGAGCCAGGGCAGGTAGAAGATTCAATTAAAAACAGAGTTTGGAATAGACAATGTCAGTCCTCTTTGTTCATGTAACCAAAGCCTTGAAAATACTACTGAAATGGGAAGCCATGAATTCTAGAAGATTGTGTGGGGAAGGCCTCACTCCGCCTTTGGACAAATGGTGCTCAGCTGAGCTGTGTGACAAGGAAGGTGAAATCATTTTCAGCAGCTGCCACCAAACTTGAAAAGGGTTGATTGATATGACAAAGTCTTTTCACAAAGAACATAAATCAAACAAGATGACTGACAGTGAAGTAAACATTTTAGAGCTAGAGTAATTAGGAATATATTAGCAATTAAAATAAACTTATTATCATTAGCAAAATTGGCAGTTACTTGCAGTTTCCCCAGGGGCCTCATTTCAAGTTTATCCTTTTAGATTATATTAAGGCAGGATTAATGTTTTTGGAGATACAGTTTTAATTTGTCTCAATTATCCCTCAGAGTGCCTGGTATAAGGAAGGCACTTGATAAATATTTGCTGATGGAAGGATGGACGGAAGGAAGGATGGAAGGAAGGAAGGGAGGAAGGAAGAAAGGAAGGAAGGAA